TATCTACTCTACAAAGCATCGAATCATTTGATGACTTGTGAATAATGGTTAAGAAAGGATTTAGAAGAAATCGATCATGGCTTTCTCGAGGTTTTATCCCGACACTTACTTATAGGGACCAGCGAAAACCATGAAATAATTCAGTCACTACATTTGGTGTCAGGATCGAGATTCGAAAGGAGTAACTCCCGAATACATTGCCGCTCATAGCAGAGAAGCCGTGCAAACTGTATTAACATTTCGTGTCTTATGAAAGCAGACACTGTCTCTGCACTTAGGATCAGCCGAGGGCAGGTATCCTTATCACACGCACAGTCAGGTTATGTTTCACTCACCTTAGGTTTCTGCCAAGCTGACGGAGCCCGCGGGAACCCTTCCCATGTGTTGACGTCAGCACCGCAAGGCGTCCCTCCCAGAACTGTGACCGTCGAGGGCTGTGGCGCGGCCATAATGAGGAGCCAGGCGTGGTGGGAGGGGAATAATGCAGGATTCATTGCAACGTGGGAGAGGTCTGCAGGTCCTGCTGCATGGGTGGGGGGACATATCCTAGGAAGGATTCATCCTCTGAATGCGACGTTGCGTCCTGGAGAGGACGCCAACTCCTGGATAGGACGTGACCTCTTGGATAGGACACCTGGGATGTGCCCTTCTTGGATATTATGAGGGATCTCCTGGATAGGACGCGATTTTCTGAATAGGACGCGATCTTCTGGGTAAGACGCGATCTCCTGGATAGGACGCGATCTCCTTTGTAGGACGCGATCTCCTGGATAGGAGGCGATCTCCTGAATAGAACGCGATCTTCTGGGTAGGACGCGTTCTTCTGGATAGGACGCAATCTTCTGTGTAGGACGCGATCTTCCTGGTAGGACGCGATCTCCTGGTTAGGACGCAGTCTCCTGAATAGAACGCGATCTTCTGTGTAGGACGCGATCTTCTGTATAGGACGCGTTCTTCTGGATAGGACGCAATCTTCTGTGTAGGACGCGACCTCCTGGTTAGGACGCAGTCTCCTTGAGATTTCGCCACAGAACCTGGCTGCCTCTTTCTGGTTTCTTGCTTAGGTTGTTGCGTTTTGACTCCGAATATGGAGGCAATATTTTCCTCCGAATCCTAGGTGAATTTCTACTGACCTTCGGGGTCAGGCGACAACATCCTTCATTTCACTTTCAAATTATTTGGATTTATATTCACTGAACACAGCTGAGGTACCCGTTTCCAGTGCCTGTCGGGTGTCCAGTGTCCAGAGTGAGCTTCGTTGTTTCATTCTGCCCATAAATGCAGGTTTCGGTATAGTTACTTAAATAGGCCGCAACCACTTCCTTGTCAGTTCTTAGCTGCCGACACTAACCTCCTCCTCTCTCATTCGGCTCTCTTTGACACGTGCATTTGAATTATCATCGTTAAATGGCTTAATAAGAAGACTTTTATTGTGACTGATATGAGCCGGAATGACTCAGTTGGTATAGCAACTGCGCTACGGGCTTCACGACCAGTGGAGCAGTGTTCGATTCCTGCAGGGGCCCTGCCCTGTTTGGTCCTGGATAAAGTCCATCTGCAGTATGGACACGACTGCGTCAGACCATGCGTAGGCAACTGAGTTTGTGTTTCCAGCCGCCAGAGGGATGCAGCAGTTGTGTTAAAAGCAGCATCTAGTAATTTGGAATGGTGACGTCACGGTCTACGTCACTAACTGACCCACGTATGTATGTCACGAAGTTGGGTGGGGTTTATTTAAAAGATGGCCGCGCCATAGCTCATGTAGTTGCGCTCTCGCTCCTGATCTCGAAGCCTCGGGTTCAGTACCTGGTAATTAGGTTCCTGGTGAACAAAATGACACTACAGCAGGTTTTATCTCTGAATTTCTTCGGTTTTTTCCCCTGCTAATCATTATTCCTCCATTCTTCTTACTTGTACATAACCTCCCTCCCCCCCCCTAGGCACTACAGCCCCAGTAGGCCTAGGCCTACCTCCATGAACTCCGTTCACTTCGGTTTTTCTACATCTTACACATACGGTAGGACTCCTTGGGTGGGTGATCAGCTCGTCACAAGGCCTCTACCTGTAGACAAACACAGAAAAACGCACACAAACATCCATGCCCTGAGTGGGATTCGAACCCACAATCCCGGCTTCCGAGCGAGCGAAGACAGCGCATGCCTTAGACCGCTCGGTTACCGTGACCGGCATATAACCTCCCACTGAGGTATAATATAGCCCGGACCACGCAGCACATTGTCAGATACTCGAGTTTTTAAGTTTGGGGCTCTATCTCTGCTAATTATGGAATAAGGAAGTTAAGTTTAATTCTTTTTACCCTTTAGGAGACATGTATATATGTGCGAAATATATCGACACGTATTTCACCATGTATTTAACAAAATACATTACACAATTAACACAAGAAAGTTAAATAAAAATAACAGAGAAAAATCTGCAAATGGATGAATAGCAATGTTAGTGGTAATATTTACAACATGGTGACGTCACATTTAGGTGGGACAGTTCAACACTGACCATAAATATGGACGGAAAATTGAGAATTATCGAAAACATGAGACGCCCACATTGCAAAATTTTATTATTTCGGATAATAATAATAATATAATCTTGTACCTGGAGCAAAGAGGACTGGAATTATATATGGATTTTATTTCGAGACATGAGATGAAGTGGAAAACTTGAACTTAAGGAAAACCAGTAATTTATTTAAGCGCCGGCGCCACACCTTCAAACAGTAGAGTGATATGCCCTATATATATTTTTTACACAGACAAAGGCAGTCCGTACTTTAATCTGTCTACATACTGATCCTAGTTTCAAGTATAATTTCGGGTTTTGGGAATAGGCCACGTAGAATTTTGAAGAATTTCTTGCGTTTCGATAAAAATTACTATTGTCATCTTCATTGTTAATGTCTTTAAAAATATTCTAGGTTTTCCTGTGCATCTCACACGGTGGGATATGAATCAGATTTCAATCATTGATTCGGGATTTCAACCCTTGTACAAGCCATTAATTCTGAATGTAGCAAATGAAATGTTTGTCGAAACGTTGGGAAACTCGTAGGGCGCATTCTCGAAAGACGAAGTCATGCATTAAACTCTGCCGCGTGAACTAAGAAAAAAAAAATATTCCGAGTGTTGCTAAGTGCCGATAATTGTTTCAATTATTTCGTCACGTGATAGTCGATTAAGTCTTTAACGTCATGACTACGCCTTGCGATTTTCATTGCTTTTAATGGTTTAGAAATTGTATCCCAAGGCGTGATAATTGCGCAGGCTATTACAGGGACATCGAGCAAAAGTGATAAGACTTAAATATCTGCTTCCTTGCGAATTTCTTCCTAATAATGCATAAAATCCAGTTCGTACCTCACAGGGAACACTCCGTCTCCATAGCAACGCCCAACCGGTTAATGCCGTTTAGAGAAATAATCGCTGTTTATTGTGACAACCATACGGAACACACAAATACAATGTGTGGGCAGAATGCAGAGTTTTAGTATCTTGAATTCCGTACCTCACAGGGAACACACTCCGTCTCCATAGCAACGCCCAACCGGTTAATGCTGTTTAGGGAAATAATCGCTGTTTACTGTGAGAACCATACGGAACACACAAATACACTGTGTGGGCAGAATGCAGAGTTTTAGTATCTTGAAGTCCGTACCTCACAGGGAACACACTCCGTCTCCATAACAACTCCCAACCGGTTAATGCTGTTTAGGGAAATAATCGCTGTTTATTGTGACAACCACACGGAACACATAAATACACTGTGTGGGCGGAATGGAGGGTTTTAGTAGGTTAAAGCAGATAGTACATATAGTAACCACTGGACTTTAAGTGGTTAAGTAAGTGAGATAAAATTTTGAAGAAGATGCATGTCCCGGTAACTCAGCATCAGTTTAAACTAACCAATAACTGAGGGGAAAATATAAGGCCGCTGATCTGGTAGCGGGAACAGAAGGTTGGAGTGAATATAATGCATTAAACAAGGTTGCTTAAGAAGATGTTTGAAAGTAAGTCAGACAGCAGAGGAAAAGTGACAAGTCCTAGCGTACAATGGCCGGGAGATTCAGAGAATGATTTACGAGATCACAAGGTGAGGAGATGCAACCAGAAAGCAAAACATAGAGAAAATTGGCATCTGTGCTGAAGGAGGCCAAGGTTTTTTAGAGGTCTGGACGCTATGAAGAAAAATAAATCTCTGTCCTTACGTGCCATGTAATTCTGATGCCCCAGTTGTTAAGGCCGTAACATAGTCACTATATTGACTGAGCTGTAACCCGTTTATGTAGGTTGAATTATTTAAAAGACTGGAATGTAAGTGGTAAGGAATGGATGGACAGGGTAAAAAATAGGTAAAGTTGTCCCGGTGCCTAACTAATTAAGCACTACGCCATGAAGGCGTATGGGGGAGTGGATGTATAGATCAACATTTTCTTGACCTCGACACTAGTTGGAGGTGAGTTGTCAGCTTCACGCCTTTGCCACTTTACCCCCGGATAAAGAGCTCCCGATAGTCATTGGACAGGAGGTTGGGTGGACCCCAGAGCCGGTCTGGACGACTTGGAGTGGATGGACAGGGAGGAATGAAAAACAAATAGTTCTTTGTTTGCCATGAGGGGAGGGCGTTGGTCGATTATCGAAATATGAGTTCTCACTCCGTAATATTTTGTTAAATACGTGATTTGTCACTGTCATTACATAATCTAGGGTCACAGTAGCAACGAATTGTCAAATGTTTACACATTGCATGAGTTATATAGTAGGTCAAGAACGAGGGAACAGTCTTTTGTTTCAGTGTATCGTGTATATTCTGTGAGCAATAATGAGGTTTTTATGTGTATATATGAAGTGTGATATACATTATATAAGGGAGACGGTTTACGATTTATCATTTGTGCTTGTTATTCGTGGGTGATGGCCTTAAATTTGGCCTCGACGTATCGTTCGTTAACACGTGGGACTGAAATGGAATACAGGACAAAATGGGGGAAATAAACAGCATGAACTTACATAATAAACGACGCGATCTCCCTGTTGACTTGGCACCTGTTGATACATTGGTATGCAGTAAATGAATACAGGGATTCAAATTGGAGGTAGATTTCTACCTGAAGAATGCCGTATTCTGGGAAGTAGCGGTGTGTAGATCTAGTGTAAACCGACGTTTCGGAAGAAGGTATCGCCTCCATCTTCAGTGTAGAAAAATCGTCGAGCGAGGAACCAGCGTGAGCAGGTGGATGCAGGCGCTGGTACCTCGCTAGCGATTTTTTCTACCCTGAAGATGAAGGTGATACGTTCCTCCGAAACGTCGGTTTACACTAGATCTACACGGTGCCACATCCAAGAAGACGTCATTCTTCATAGTCACCGCCATGAAAACCTCAAATCTTACATATTTCTACCTGTACAGTAGAAACTTATTTAAGTTGAGTTTGAAGTTTTGGGAGCGGTTGTGACGCCATGTCGTTTGATAGGTATTTATTAGCGTCTCATAGAAACCAATTACTTCAATTCTTAGGGTATAAGATGGACGCATCAAGTTCGTCTGAAATTTTTGTACCTGTCTACCAAACTACACTGCATCACGTTCCTGAAATTTTAGGAACCGACGGTTTTGTAGTTGATATAAACATGTTTTGTACTAATCTATTTACACAAACTACACGTTAATCAGTGAATAGTCCTGGAATACATGAGCAAGGGTTCGACTTCCCCAACATTCCTGAGGCTCTAAGCCCTCTACAACCTCCACCCGTAATTTCAATAACATATTTGAACATAAATTTAAAGCTTGGTTTTCTGGTTCGCATAAGTAGTAATACTTATTCTGCATAAAATGAGTGTGCGTTAGCAACGGTGACAATCTGGTTCCTGTCAAATCCCACATGTGGGCCCAGTGTCTTCCTCAAGAGACACATCTCTCAACGTCAAGTACCTTGCACTTACTGATCACTTCCTACCGGATGTAGAGTCACAGTATCTTCCACAAGAGACACATCTCTCAACGTCAAAGACCTTGCATTTAGTTATCACTTCCTAGAGGATGTAGAGTCACAGTATCTTCCACAAGAGACATCTCTCAACGTCAAGAGCCTTGCATTAACTGATCACTTCCTAACGAATGTAGTCACAGTATCTTCCACAAGAGTCACATCTCTCAACGTCAAGGACCTTGCATTTACTGATCACTTCCTATCGGATGTGGAGTCACAGTATCTTCCACAAGAGACACATTTCTCAACGTCATGGACCTTGCATTAACTGATCACTTCCTACCGGATGTAGAGTCACGGTATGTTCCACAAGAGACACATCTCTCAACGTCAAGGACCTTGCATTAACTGATCACTTCCTACCGGATGTAGAGTCACGGTATGTTCCACAAGAGACACATCTCTCAACGTCAAGGACCTTGCATTAACTGATCACTTCCTACCGGATGTAGAGTCACAGTATGTTCCACAAGAGACACATCTCTCAACGTCAAGGACCTTGCATTAACTGATCACTTCCTACCGGATGTAGAGTCACAGTATCTTCCACAAGAGACACATCTCTCAACATCAAGGACCTTGCATTAACTGATCACTTTCTACCGGATGTAGAGTCACAGTATCTTCCACAAGAGACACATCTCTCAACATCAAGGACCTTGCATTTACTGATTACTTCCTACCGGATGTAGAGTCACAGTATTCTCGACAAAATGAACTCTTTTCGATAATCATGTAATCTGAGCCCACACGTGTCGAGTGTTTACGTGAAGAAGGTGTGAATGATGCCCGAGAGGCTGGTGTAGGTGCCTACTACAAGGCCGAACAGACTGAAGGCCACGAGGAAGGTGTTGCGGGCCAGCATTCTGCAGAAACTGCTGGTCGTCTTGAGGCTGTACCAGAGCGTGGAGGTTTCTATTATTGCCGGAAAGGCGATGCCCAGCGCAGAGAGACACAGCGCCCCAAACAGAGAGATGAATAGCTCCAGGTTCGGAATAGCCACGGCCAGCAAGACTGTAAACAACATATATACATTTCCATGGGGACACAAAAGATTCATCAAAGCTATTTCACACTGCGCATGCGTACTGCTATGCCGAGGACGCTTGTTCTAACGGTAACGTTTCTAATTTATACTCGGGAAGTGTCTGCTACGAGTGTTACCGGGGACACGAACTATACCGACTGATATTTTCGAGGTTTTGTTCAGTCTCTTCAGACAAGTTCCGCGTTATTACCTCAATTTAGGAATTGACCGAATTCTTTGACGCATTTTCTAATTAATTAGTTACTAATTGACGCCATACTATCTGAACTACTGACAGAATCGTTAAATAAATATCATGGTAAATTTGTCCGTGTGCTTAATTAAGATATAGAGCGGAGTGTAGGTATAGCTCCACTCATTCTTCACCTCGGCACCACGTGGAGATTAGTCAGCTTCACGTCCCGGTCGCTTTATCCCTGGAGAAATATTCTCTGGTATCAGACCAGGACTGGATGCTGTAAATAAGAGAATAAATTCTTGCCCTGCCGGGAACCGAAGCAGGAGCCATCATACCTCTTGCCTAATCACAATCCTGACTGATCCTTCCATAGAGAGATACAGAGGAGACCTGTAAGCATGGCGTCTGTGATCTTAATTGCTCCAGTTCAGGTTACCTTGGGCGTTAACACTTACATACGCAACAATAGGTCACGAACGAGCGAGCAATCTTCTATTTCTGTGTATTGTGTCTATTGTTTTAATGCTGTTATTATTTTGATATTGGTATGTTAAATATATTACATACTAAATAAAAGCGCACGCGGTAGCGTAGTTGGTTGAGGCACTATGCTACAAGCCTCAAGGTCGCGGGTTCGATTTCAGATGATGTTACTGGATTTTTCAATTGACCTAATCCTTTCAGCCTCACTTTTGCCCTGGGGTCGACTCAGCCTCTAATAAAAACGAGTACCAGGAATCTTCCTGGTGGTAAAGTGCGGCCGGCGCGTAAGGCTGACAAACTTACCGCCATGTGTGAGCCGATTGTCTAGAAAATGTGGGAACCTCAACGTCTCACAACCCCATGGGTCTTCACGGTCTGTTACTTTACTTTACTTTACTACCTTTTTTTTTATTGCTAGTGGGGTGGGGCTAAGTCCCTTGACTGCGGCCAATTCTGGCCTATTGTACCAGCCCCAGATGATAGGTGAGGGTGAGTGTGGAGCAATTGGTGGAATGAAGATTGGCAGGGGAAACCGAAGTACTCGGAGAAAACCTGCCCCAGCGCCACTTTGTCCACCACAAATCCCACTTGACCAGACCCGGGATCGACACCGGGCCGCCGCGGTGGGAAGCCAGCGACTAACCGCTTGAGCTATGGCGCGCCCCTACCTTACCTTAATGTATAAGAAGAAGAAGAGAAATGTAGAGGAAGCCGAAGGCACTGAATGTACGCTCTGATATCGCAACTCACATGTGACCAACACGAGGCAGGTCCTGACGACATATTCCAGGACAAACTTGTGTGAGTGTTTCTGAAATTTCGTGAGCAGGTAGTGGTTCCACGTGATGTCCACGGCGACGTAGCACTGCAGGCCGTGTGTCACGAATATTGCGATTGCCAGGATCACCCTCACGCTCTGCGCCAGGCTGTGGAACAACGGGTATCGCTACAGTATGTTTCCAAAACTGATCACCATCACCATCAACATCACTGGCAAAACATTGGCCCTTTTGAGCCACAGCCTTCCTGAGAAGGTTCTGCCAGATAGGGTCCGGTTTTCACATCTTTGGATTTCACAAAAGTAATTCTTTTGCAGAGCAAGTCGTCAGCCCTGCGCCCAACCCTCAATCTGGAGAACTAGGTTTCTGTTTTTATGTCCTTCCAAGGGCAGGGTGACCCAGTCAACCCCCGGGCACCGGATTCCCTTTTCGTCGCTTTCTGCTACTCGCAAGGATAGGGCGCAAGCATTCTAACCCTCCTTCACAAGGGAGAAAATTAAGCATAATTTTATATTTAATTGCTCATTTTATTGCGTACGCCCCCTTTTTCCTTCTGCACTTCTTCCTCGGAGTATAGAGGATTAGTCACAAAGGGCAAATCGCTTCGACTCTAGAAATATCGCGGTAGTATCGACTCACATTTCGTCAGCCGGTAGATTGAGGGTGATGCTGCCGAGGGCCCCCGAGCCGTACTTGATATACCCAAAGAATCCCATCCCCACGTACAGGGTGATGATGAGCAGCATAGCTCTGTTGAGCACCCCAAACGTGCCACCGAACGATTTCGGCGTCTTCATATTATTCTCCAGCGGCAGGATCTGCACACAAAGACAGACACGTTACAGGTCGTTCCGTACAGACAAGATGAATTTATGTCTGTTCGTTTCTGTGGTAACAGTCCATGAGACATGGTTTCTTAAACCGTTGGTCGCGACTACCTGAATTGTTGCGACGTGCACTGATATCCATACGGGCTCTGGGGTCGTAGCGGTGCTCATTTTCGGGGATAAGAGTCAATAATATTATGCCACACCCGGTATAGTGCCTGAAACACCCTGTATAGTACTGCCAAACATACCACGCCGATGGCTTCCAGTGCGAAGAGCACCATTCCGAAGAAGAGGGGGAAGTCTCTGACCGCCCCAATTGGATTTCTGGTCGAGATATTTGGAATATCATTCAAGATGTAATACAGGGTGATGCCAAAGCCGATGAACGTAAGGAGATTGGCCAGCGTGGAGAACGGCGCGAGAAGCTTGAGGTTGCGCACCCAGTTGATGAGAATCAGTGGCAGCAGCAGCATCACCATGTAGAGCCTCACGTCCAGCTTCGTCTCATGGTATTCGTCCACCACCTGCGGCAGTAACGGGTGTCTCATAAAACTGGTCACTAAGAGAACAAGTCAGGTCACAATTAACGAGCAGTAACGTAGCTATCGGTGCGGTCGTGTGGATAGTCCCGGGTTCAGATCTCGGCTCGGAGACGAACTATCCTGAATAAGGATTTCCATAGTTTTCCACGGCGCCTCCAGGTATACATTGGGATAGTACCTGAGCTTAGAGGAGCATCAGTCCCTTCGACATCTTTCCAATTCATTATCCACTAATTAGCAAGTGAAAGGTGAAGCTGTCCCTGTGCTTAATTAAGTAAGCACTACGCCATGAAGGCATATGGAGGAGTGGATACAGATCCACACTTTATTGACCTCAGCACTATGTGGAGGTGAGTGGTCAGATTCACGCCCCGGCCGCTTTATCCCCGGGGAAAGAGCCCTCGGTACCCACTGGATAGGTTGGGTGGACCCTGGAGCCGGTCTGGACAACATGGAGAAGAGAAAATTTTTGCCCCCACCGGGACTCGAACTCCGACACGTCTGTTGTCCAGCCCGTAGCCAGTCGCTATACCGACTGAGCTATCTCAGATGTATCCACTAATTAGGGTGGTTGAATAAACCATAGATAAAGAAACGAATAAATTTCATAAGTCGACGCAAGCCATCATGTTTGAATAATTGCTGATAGAACTTTAAGGTATAATGATATTTCTCCACGTCCACATACGCCTTCACGGCTTGCTAAATTAAGCACAGGGAAACTTTACATTTTGCTGTCTTTTAAAGCGTCAATTTCTTTTTTATAAAATTCTTTGTCATGTGATAGGAAGATATACTCAAAGTACAGGGATCGATCCCCGACAGCTGTCATCACCCACCTCCTTAATGTTTCTGGAGACAAATACGACGTAGACACAGCAAGTACCCAGCTGGTAGAGGATCAGGAAGGCGTTGACCACGTGACTGTAACATAGGAGAAACTTTGTGACGGCCAGTCTGTTCCAGAGACAAATCGAATGGACGCGACGCAACTCACCCTGCGTAAGGCGCGCACTTCTGGAACACCCTAGGGCCGTCCTCCATGGCGGCCGACGCTGTGTCGGGGTAATTGAGGCTGGCAATTCTCCGCCTCCTACACAGCTCGATCTCGCACTTCACCTGCAACAGTCAGTTGCCATGGTGATCGAACTGGAAACCTGCATACACACTTCAGCGTGTCAGAAAGGTAAACCGTACGGTTCGTTATTGCTCACCTGTACACAATAATAATTATAATAATTATAATTCTGAGTCATACGAAATACATAAACCAGCTCTGTGGGTAAATTACAGATATTTTTCGATGTTAGAGCAAGTGGTATATATAGTAACCACCACTAGTTGAAATCGCTGCTTCTCTGTTACAAATAAGGTGTGATTAACAATAGCTCAGTCTGAAGCATCTGTGTATATAGGTCACACCCACAGCAACCAACCTTACGGAAAAAAGTCCCGCGTGTTCAACGAAATATCCGCTATGGCGATTTTGTATAGCCATCTTACGTTGGAAATAAGAATATAGTAACTTTGAAACAATGACGTAGGCAGCTACGTCATATCCTGATGATGATGTCTCCTCAAGGATGCTTTGCACAGAGTACGTTAGTTGTGAGCTGAGGACAGGAGCGCGGGGTGGCCACTCACCAGCTGGTGGATGCAGTACGTGCACAGGACACCTATGAACAGCGTGCCCGCTGCCCCTAGCACGTAGCCTGCTCGGTAGAACGCGTTCGGCATGGCGAGGATTCCAGTTCCAAGACTGCCCTTCAGCAAGTGGAACAGTGTCTCCATGTTCCTGCAAGAGGACGCAATGGGCATGGCATATAGCACGCATGGGAACTGTATAGAAAACAAGACTACCACTGGATAGGGCTAAGATTAGACAGGAAGATAATATTAAAATAGAGACTGTCTATCTGCCCTACGAACAAGGGTACATCACACTGTGTGTAGGCAACATTACGGAGGAAAATGTCCTGTGTAATTGTGTCTGAATTTCCCACCGGCACGTGAGTACGGGAGGTGCGTTGTGGACAGGATCTAGTAACTTTCGAATTATGACGTAACGGCTACGTCATTAACTGACGATGACACATGCTCGTTCCTGCAATGGATGGAGTTTACTTACGATGTGATGTCGACCAAAATGGGGAGGAGAGACGGGCTCTTGTGAACTCGGTAATGAACCTTCTGGTTCCATAAAATTCTGGTAACTTCCTGATTCGTCACGAAGGGTCCTGTTCTATGGGGTAAGTCATGTGGTTCTCCTGAGGCACTCACGTTGTGGGATGCGCTACCTTCCTGTGGTCATGAGGCTCGAATGGCTCCAGCCTGGACTCCTTCCTGGACTCAGGGAGCTCTATTGTGAAGAGTCCCACGGGATGGGGAGTGGTCACTTTGATTTCGGGAGAAGAAAACCTGAAAAAACAAGAATACAATGTTACATTCCACAGTGATCGCCATTGCCACTGGGAGTGGAAGGGGGGGAGGGTAAGTTATGGACCTGCCTCTCCCTGGATTTTTTAAAAAATCGAATTTAAAAAAGTGGGTTTTGGAGAACTAATCACCTGCTTTTGCTTTGATATGAAACGGGCTGAATAGAAAACGACGCATCCAGCAACTTCTCAATTTTTACGTGTGTATTCGTTGTCGTGGGAACGCTTTTACCGAGCCGTTGCCTAAAAATGATAAGCCTTCTTTTTGGCTCTTCTCTGACTGCATTCTTCCGATTTTCAGGCGTCATGTCACTCGCCACATACGTATATGTTTATATGGTATTGCAATGGCCGTCTCTTCTGGCTCCACTATTCCTGATTTCAGGAATTAGAGGAGGTGTACAGACACACAGACAGCATGGTGATCTTTAAAAACTATTTATTTTTTTTTCGTTGAATGAAACAAATGAGGCTGAAACCATAAATTTACTTCACCGGTACCCAACTAATGTAGCTGTCTCACCTCTTTCCTTGGAAGCCGTGTGTGGCAGCACTGAGGCTGGTCATAGTCCCAGACTGCTTCCTCCTCTCCTGCTGCACACTTCCGGTTTGCGGAAAAGGATCTGTGTCCTGTAAGGAAACAAGCAGAAGCAGTTACACGTGGAAAAGGGAACAGACCGTGGAGGCCCATAGGGTTGTGAGACGTCGAGGCTCCCACATCTTCTCTAGACAATCGGCTCACAGATGGCGGTGAGGTTGTCAGCCTTATGCACCGGCCGCCCTTTACCCCCAGGAAGATTCCCGGTACTCATTTCTGTTAGAGGCTGAGTCGACCCCAGGGCCACAGTGCGACCGGAAAGATAGGCAAATTGAAAAATTCCATGACCTCATCGGGAATAGAACGCGCGACCTTCCTGCTTGTAGCACAGTGTCTCAACCAACTACGCTACTGCGTGCCCAGTAGTGACAGATTCATCACCAGATAATGACGTGGAACGTTACGTCACTGTCAGATGGTTACTGAATTCTAATTTCAAAATAAGATTAGAAACAAAAATGTACTCTCCAAAAATTTTTGGAGGGGGGACTGGCGAAAACCATGAGGGGACTCAGTGAGGATAAGCGATGTCCCAGAATATATTCGAATTGAATATCTCCGAAACACAATAGTAGAGCGTCACTGCGCCGACCACAATTTACACACCTCAGCCTTTGATGTGGTTGGTCCAGAATACGCCATGTTCTTATGGCTCATATCGGTAGATAGGCCACTCTTCTCCGAACAGGGTAACTGAAACAAAGAAAACAACTTTTCAGTTCACAGTGCACAGAATTCTTGTGAATGACGTGCGGCGTCTCGACGCTATTGGCAGCGTCGTTAAGTAAGACAGAACAGTGCGACGCATGTAACAGTGCTGTAGTGATTAACACTCTTGGTTCGTATCCCGGAATTTCTCTTGCGCCTTTTCTAGTTAAGTTTTAGAAAATCTGAACAAATTTTTGGGAACTTTCAGTGCCTTTCTATGACGTCAGCATTTTGCTATGCTTATGTCGCAACCGCGCTCGGGTAAGGTGGGGCGGCAGGCACTCACTGAACGGGTTCCATAAAAGGAGGGGAACATCTTCAGTAGCTGAGCAACTACTAGCTTCTCTGATTGTGGTCACGTGTGCGTTTGTCTTGGCGCCCTTCGCCTGTTCTCTGTCATTTATACCTTGTTAGCACCAACACCTCTGTAACAATCGCGAAATAACACAGAGGTGACAAGCCACGTGATTTAGAGCTTACCAATAGATGTCCTTACAAGATTCTTTTATTGCTAGTGGGGTGGGACTAAGTCCCTTGTACTGCGGCCACTTCTGGCCTATTGTACCAGCCCCAGATGATAGGTGAGGGTGATTGTGGAGCAATTGGTGGAATGAAGATTGGCAGGGGAAACCGAAGTACTCGGAGAAACCCTGCCCCAGCGCCACTTTGTCCACCACAAATCCCACTTGACCAGACCCGGGATCGAACCCTGGCCGCCGCGACTAACCGCTTGAGCTATGGCGCGGCCTGCCTTACAAGTTACGCGGGTGGCAGTTTCTGTCTGAAGCCTGAACACGCTGTCTGCCGTCCAGCTACAGTTGTCAGTGCAGCTGCCACGAGACTACAGTACTGAATCCAACGCGAACAGTTTCCCCTGGTGTCATGCCAGTCAAATGCATTTAAATAATGTTAAGAGTTCAGTTCGTACCTCGCAGGGGACACACTCCGTCTCCATAACAACGCCCAACCGGTTAATGCTGTTCAGGGAATTAATCGCTCTTTATTATGACAACCTTACGGAACACACAAATATACTCTGTGTTAAAGCATGTGGTACTTATAGTGGCCATTGTGCTTTGGCTGGGTAAGTATTGTGACGTATAGACCCATTGCTAGGGACAGACCTCGAAACAAACAACGAGTACAGCCATAGTTATGTAATAGGCCAATCAACAAACGGATGTTTCTAGGCCCTACAAAAATATAAGAACTACTGGGGGGCGGTGTTCTCTGGAGGATCCGCCCCGAGGCTATATGACGAGGACCCCAGGCCAGCTAAGCGGGGGTTGATGGAATTGAGGGAGTTCAGGTGCCGGAAATTTGCTGGAGATGAAGGACCTGAGCGCAGGAAGCTGAAAAATCTCCATTGTTAGAAGCCGTTGCTAAGGAACATCTGTTGAAGACACCGCGGGCTGGAGAAGACTTAGTGTTTGCAGTATCATTTTAAAGTGTGGAGATTAGAGGTGGCCCTGTAATTAAAAGCAATTAGAGTCATTAATAAATCCAATATACAATCTATACCCCTTCTATAGTCACACACACCTCTAGAACAGCGGCGATTTAAGAAAGATGCAGGCGATGAGTTTACAGAAGAGACCTGAAGAAGGCCTCAGGGTTGTTAGAACACTTCTTGAACAAGAGCTAATTGTGTGAAATCTGAATACGTGACTTTTATAAGCCTCTGTTGCTTAGGCGTGACCTCACCAGATGCTGGACTCCATATGCTGCCCGTCACCCGCTGTGACTTTGTATTCTAGGGGTCTGGGAACTCATGACGTCATCGAACTACCTCACAGAACGTATCACGGAAAGACCCACTCATGAAACTGGAATAATGTACTTCATTACGATATGCGTGTAAACACGGCTACAGAAGGGAGGGGGGCTACAAGTGGAAAACTCCATTTAAATTAAAACAGAACGCGGGCTTTTAATGTTATAGTAGTTTTCCTATTAGTCAGGCAACCCAGTGGTTTCCACACATTTTAAAATGTTAGCTTAGCAAAAACTTAATGCGCCCATTTTGTTTACTCTGTGTGTCTGTGTGCGTAAAATAACAGATCTTTCCAACTTTTCATTTTCAAAATGAATATATTTTAGATCTCTATAAGTTAAAACAATTTATCATGATTTACAAACGCACGAAATTCAACAATCTATCTCTGATATTTTAACAATTCTTATTAATTTAATTTTCATATATAACTTTCCCGGAATATGACGTCCTCTCTAACCATCTACTTGTGTTCCTCTGAGGGGAGGCGCCCCACATTTTGGAAACCGTTGAATTAACTAACCCCCCACGGCAGAGTCGTGTTGCTTTCATCCCTGAAAGGCTTTCCTGGGAATGTGAGCGCTAGTTGAATCGCAGCGATTCGGGGTAATTTTGAAATAATAATAATGGTAAAAAGTGAAGGCCCATAGGGTTGTGAGACGTCGAGGCTCCCACATTTTCTAGACAATCGGCTCA